ACTTCTTCACTATCCAAATCAAAGCCAGGATCCACTTTGTTATGGAAGATGAACCCTGCCAGCCACGACATTTTGGCAGGAGAGAGACAGAAGCACTTCCCCTTGGTGGTGAACAGAGATTGATTAGGTAGAGAGTAATCTAATAATACTGAGGGAAGAAAAAGTGGAATTTTGGTTCCTGTAGGGTAATACAGGATGGGTAAGGGGTGTTTAAATGCAAATGGTTCAAGTAGGAGAGTGACCAAGGCCATCAGGATTGGTTTTCTGAAGGCAGTTCCACTGCCATGATGGTGTCCTTGGAGAAAGCATTTTAGAAAATGTTCATCATATATAGCTGGAAACAGTCTGTGTGCTTGAGCTAAGTTGATTAGACGCAAACTATAAGGCTTTAGACTCTTGTCTCCTTACACAGATGCTCAGAGGAATTCGTTTTTAAGTCTCTAGTTATCAGTCAACAAATATTTATTGAATACTTGCTATGTGCCAGACAGTGTTAATTAAAGTTTGCTCTCTCTTGTCATGTTAAAATGCTCAGCTTTTATCTTTGTTTGCCTTATAATTAGGGATAGCCTCCTTCTCTTAGTATCTTGTTCTTCAGCTCCTCATGACTTTTTGTGGAGGCAGGGACTTCTTAGGGCTAAACTTTTAAGTAAGTCACCTCTGCTCTCCAGCAGCTATTGAAAGGTCCTGCAGGCAGTCCAGTCTAGGGACTATGACCTGAATTGTTCAAACTGTCCTGGGAGCTTTTGTTATAAAGAACTCCTTGAGAGTGAGGAAAGCTAGCTGCCATTTGCTCGCTGTTTTCCAATCAACAATAACCTTCCTGCACATATTTTCTTCCCTTGAGCATTTTAGATAGTAGTTGGATTATTTCTTACCTTACCTAGGAGGATATTATTTACTTAATTAGGTCATTATCTTTAAAATCCCTAGCCCAAAAGTGTGTATTTGCCTCATGCTGCCTCATTCTGAAGATGCTCTTATTAGTAGCTTGGTGGACAAGCAGCTCATCTACTCAAGAGATGTATTGAAAACAAATGTATTCAGAATATTCATGGGCAAAAACAGACCTAATGATGTAATATGTGATAAAAATGAATAATATATAATAATGATTCTTATACTTTTCTTTAAAAATGAAATTTGTTAAGCTACACTTGCATATAAGGCAAGCACTCATTTTAAGTGTATAAACTAGATGGATGTTAACAAGTACATATATCATTTAGTGCCATCTTAATAAACAGAGCACTGCCATCTCCCCAAGAGTGTCCATGGTTCCCTGCGCAATCCCCTGGCCCAGCTTAGAACAACCATTGAATGGAACTGTTTCTAACTTTATGCCAATTGTTGTCTAGAGTACAGGAAAAGAGACAGCTTCCACTGTCGTATGACAAAACTTTTCCTGGGGAAACACAACACACACCCTAGATCCCATGACACATCAAAGTACAGCTCCTACCAAAGTCTAACTTGGTGACAGTATGTTTTATTGGAATTAGTTACAAGAGCAGAAATGTCTCAAAAACAGCTGTATCACCAAAGCCCAACAAAGCATGGGTGACATCTCATGAAAGCTGAGAACCTGGAGCATATTGCACACAGCTTGCGGGCAGATCAACAGGTGGAGAGTGTCTTTTCCAAGTGACTCAGTTGGTCTAAATCTCTCCCAGGCTATTTAGCTGGTTTCTGCTTCTTCTAGGCAGCTGGTCTGATCTCAAGAGTCTTGTTTGCAGCTTGGCTCTGGTCTATCTGAGGGGGGCTCTGAGCTTTTATTGCTTACTCTGGAAGGGAGGGTGCTGGTGAATCTGATGGGTTTCAGGGACTTCCTGGTACTGTTTTGAGTTGTTTGCCTTCCTGCTTAAGGAACTTCCTGCATGAAGGAATGTTTCAATCTTGGAGGAAGCTGTTACACACTTGCCTCCAGTCTTTAAATTATAGCAAGATAGCTTTTAAAGAGCACAGAAGAAACTGCCCAACAAGGAGCTATATGCATCGATGAATGGTGTGTCTAGAGCCCTGGAAGTGGTGGTTAGAAGGAGGGCTTGAATAAGCAACCTGAGCTCTGGTTCTTGTCCATACATTATTTCTAAGTCTGTTTCTTGTTTTCCCATCTATAAAATGATGAGTGTCACCATCTGGCCTCTAAAAGCCCTTCTGACATCATAGTCTTTATTTTGCATCTGAGAGTGGCTTCTCTTGTGTTGAGGCTCAATTTGTATGGAATTCTGTACTCTAATGTCTGTCTTCCCTGGCGTACATTTAAGTAAAAATTCTAATATGAAGCACTCCAAAGCCTCCTCATCAGAAGCAATCATTAGAGTGTCATTTCAATCTATTTACATAATTTGAAATAATTTGAAGGAACTACCTTTGGTTCAGTTTTGAGAAATATGTTAACTGATATTTCTCCAGCCAGGAAACAGTTCCAAGATACTCTTTTCAGTGGTCCTCATCCTCCATGCTGGCAGCACCCTTACCAATGCAATTAAGTGCCCAGAAAGCTACAATTTCCATGGAGAATGAGATAGGTGAAGACATGGCAGAAGAGGCCTCTACAACAGCTTCAATTCCAAGAAGGACAAACTGCCATCTCTTGATACAGATGAAGAACTGGGTCTTTTTCTATGCACCCTACACCTCTGATCTTCAGAACTGTTTATTTCCCTTCAGTAGGCAGTACTTCTCAATCTTTAACACATTAAATCTTTCCAATGGGGCTCATGTTAAAATGTACATCTCAGTGTGAGTTGGGGCTCAGGATTTTACCGTCTTAGTATGTCTCCAAGTAGATGAGATGGACCAGCGAACACACCTGTGTGGTCCACTCCAATTAGGAGTTGGAACTGGGGCAATGGGACTGCTGAGTACTCTTTCAAATTCTTTTTGTGCCCAAGGCATATAGATTAGAAATCTCAGTATGCGTAGGGAACAGGCTACCTGTGCCTTAAGCCCTGTGTCAATCAGTGCTCTGTTAGTACTGCAAATGCTATTCAACAGGGCAAGCAAACCAGTCATCCAGCCTTCTTGCTGGAAAATCTGTTGTCCTTTGACATGAAACATGTGAAAATCACCTTCTGCCCCAAGTCCTCAGGGACCTGTATGCCAGCTGCCAATGTTCCATCCATCACTACTCTGGTCTCTGAAAGGACTCAGACTTGAGGTTGTGTGGTTTGGTTCTGTCTACATGGACACCTGGCTTTCAAGTTCAGCATCCAACTCAGTGCATCCTGGGGTCAGAACAAAGTTTTGTCCCGACCTTGCTTTTCAATAACAAGTTATTTTTTCAACTTCCCCCACCACCCCACGTGTTTATTGGTTTGTTGATTTCTAAAAGCAATCTTTGTTCCATCAATCACATACCCACGGAGACATATTATTTTTATCACCTAAGGAAGGCAGATGCTGAAACTCAGAGCAGATTTATGTGTTGTTGGGTTTATTTATCTGTGGGGTATCTGAACTAAATCAGCCTGTTGGGTTGACTAGACAGGAGGGATGTGAAAAGTAGACATCATACTGTAGTCAGGAGGTTGAGGGGAGGAATTACAACGTGCAAGTTACATGGAAAGGAAAGGCTAGATGACATTAGCAGCGGCTGGAACTGCTGATGAGGGATGCAGAGTCGATGGAAACTCATTTTAAATGAAACGGAGAGTTAGGAGACAGCCAAATTATGGGTGTCCGGAGCCCTCTGAACTCTTGGCGAATATTAAGATTGCAATTATCTGAAATAATTGAGCCTTAGGAAGAGAGAATGAGTAAATAGATAGAACTTGGTCTTAGAAAAAGTCGTAGTGAGGCCAATTAGTGGCCACTAAAGATAAAATTTGCTAAAAGTAAAAAGTTGGGGAGTGGGAAGAAAAATATCACTAGGCACAGGAATGAAAAGCGGCAGGGAAAAGCAGCCCTCCCTGCTCATAAGGCTTTTAGACTAGGTAGTTTGGAAAGGAAGCCTGCAGCATACTGAGTTCTGCAGATTTTGTGAGACTTTGGGAGCCCCTCCCCTCTTGGGTACGGTGGCTCATCCCTAGGGGCCCTATTCATTTTTATTGATGATGGTGACTTAGTTTAATCTGCCAGAAGAACTGCTGGATTAAGGCACACTTGCCACCTAATGTCCCCTCCTCTGCGTCCATCAAATTCTTTAATACTTGACATGATAGAACTACCTGCTACTACTTTTAGAAGTCTTGAACACAGAACACCCAAATTCCACACAAGTGTTCTCCCATTAAGCAACACCCCGGCCCTTGTTTCCTTTTAAAGATTAATTTTATTTTTATTTATGGGTATGTATGTCTTTCTCAGAACTACACGCTGTCTGAGCTGTCCAAATGAGCAGCAAATTGTCCTAACTACTGAGCCTTCTTCCAGCTTCAGGCCTCAGTTTTTCGGAACAAAAAATCTCCCTATGTTGTCCAAGCTGACCACAAACTCAAGATCTGCCTCTACCTTCCGAGTGTTAGAGTTGTCAGCCTGTGAACCACCTTCCCCCTGACTGCCACTTTTGCTCACTTCAAAACACTGTATTTTTAAAAAGTTTCTTGAAGGCCACCTTAAAACAGCAATTTTTATTTTATGCACTCATTTGTCAGTCATATTGCTGAAATGCAAAATCACACCTTAATTAAAAAGATAACACGGAGCTGAGAGTTCAGTGGGTCTACCTGGCACTCGCCTGGCCTGTGGGAAGCCCCTGGGCTGGGTCCCTCCCACCATAAACAAAGGAGACTGATGGAATAGTCCCCCAAGACTTGACATTCAGCTCAAGTGTCTCCCTTCTACTAGTTTGTCACCTTCTGTTGCCAGGACTCACTTCCCCCTCTTTTCTTCGCCTGCTCTCCACCACTCTAGAGACTTAACTGTCCATCACTTTGGCTCTGGTTCTACCTCACTTATGTCCGCAGCTGGTGTGAAGAGTCTGAAGCCCTGGTTACTATAAGAGGGAGGCTCTGGAGGAACACTCCCCGCCTTCATGGCCCCTGCAAAATGCCTCTTCTCTGCCTCTTCTTTCCCTGGAGCAAGGGGTACATCACCCTGCTTCCCACTGTGTTTTTATCATCAGCTCCTCTAGAGCGCCCTACCCAGAGCACACCTGTTCTCGAGCCTCCATCACATTCTCAGAGTAAACATCTGGAAAGTGTTTATTTTGACTGTAGCAGAAAAAAAGATGGAAAGATGACTGTTCCAAAAGAGAATTCCCTCTCTGATCACATGAGTGGCTTGGCTCTTCTCTAAGTATCCTGAAATTGTAAGAGATATAGGAAAGGGTCTGTATGAGGTCTGGACTTCATTTTTTTTTTAAAGTAAGAGAAGGCATGAGGAAAATACTTAATGCTATAGGCATAACATCTTCAATTTAGTTCTTCCTGGATCTAGGAAGCCAGGTTTCACCTCCCATCTCTTTGCCTTCCTAAAATGGACTTAGAAAATAGACCTGGGTGTGAAAGGCCTTCTCAGTACTTTGCCAGTTCTTTAATAAAGGCTAACGAGTGTGGAGGTGGATTGGAGCTGAGCTGGGGGAACAAGTGGAGACAGCAGAAGGTGGCGAGGAGGAGCAGTCCTGGCGCTGTGTAGTTAGTACACAGGGGGTGGAGGATGCCGGGGGCTGAGAGAAAGTCTAAGGCGTTTCATATGGGCAGGAGAGCCTTGTTTCCTGACACCTCTATATGTCTGGGCTGAATTGACAAAATAAAGCTGTACACCTGTTCATTTGTTCTTTTCTCAGCAAGTAAGGCCAGAGGCGTTGGCAGCTCACTACATCCTCCTCAGGTGGCCCGGGCTTCACAGCGCTGGTTCTGACTTTGAGTGCTAGGAAAAGAACCAAAGAGAAAAGCTCTGAGTCTACGTAAAAATCTGTTTTGATTTTTCAAATTGTTTGTCACATCTCTAGCCATATGCAACTTTTTAAATGTTTGCCTCATGATTCAGGAAATAGGCTGTGTGACTATCTACCTATTTATCTGTCTGTCTGTCTATCTATCTATCTATCTATCTATCTATCTATCTATCTATCTATTTATTACCTATCATTTGTCTTCCTGTTATTATCTATCTATCACCTATGTACACATATACATACATTCATATCTCATATGATTTAACTTTACAAATATCATGTAATCTTATGTAATATATATCTTACATATACTACAATATTTTGATTTTGTTCAATATATGCATAGTTACATATATTTATATATTATTTTTCCTTAGTTTTATGTACAAAATTGTGTGTGTGTGTGTGTGTGTGTGTGTGTGTGTGTGAGAGAGAGAGAGAGAGAGAGAGAGAGAGAGAGAGAGAGAGAGAGAGAGAGTTTCACTATTTAGCCCAGAGTGGCCTCAAACTCATGTTCCTTCTGTCCCACTCTTCCAAATTCTGGGGTTATAGGCATGAGTTATCATACACTACTCATACATACATACACACATACATGTATATACATATATTTTTTGTTATATGTTATCAGAATCTTTACAAATATCACTTAGACTTAACATAGTACATTCATTTGCAAGTCTTTAAAAATTCTGCTGGCTACTATGGTTAGGAATTATAACCATATGAGAGGAAAGCAGTAGCCTCATTGTTGGATGGAATGATTATTGAGGGTGGATTCTGTAGAAGCTATTTCCACTGCAGAGCTGGGGGACTGAGCCCCAGGGGAAGGAGTTCTGGAAAGCTGACATCTGTACAGACAGGCAGCAACAAGTGTCCCCAAGGCCAGTCTGTTATGCAGATTGATGAGTGAAGGATAAAAGCTGATGATAGAGTCTTTTAAGGTGTCCCCAACTGGGACTACTTGATAAAGGCTGGGTTGCTAAGGCAAGCTTTAAAGAAAGCAGGTTCCGGTGAGAAGTTGTTAGGCTATTGGAGTCATGCACTTGAAAGGCTTTTATGGGGTCGTAGTTCACTCCTCACCCCCTTTAGCCTCTGAACATAAGGTGTTTTCTAGTGTTTCTCTGGCATATGTCCCATCCATGATGTGCTATTTAGCCACAGTTCTAAATACAGTGGCTCCAACTCGCCACAGTAATCCCCAAGGGTGGTGATCAAAATAAACCGCTTCTCTTTAAAAGTGTATCACCATAGGTGTTTGTTACAGTCACGAGGAAATTAACTGACACAGGTAATTTTCCACATGGGCAGCCAACAGCGTCCACACTACACAAAACCAGACTAGAGATAATCCAATCCTGCTGTTGTAGATTGCTTCTTTCCTTGGAAGATGTGGGGAGGGGAGGATAGGTATTGGTCTTTGAAATGGGATTGGTCCCTGAATTGAGACCTGAAGGATATAGAATTATTTCAAGTAGATACAGAACCACGATAGAGGCAGAATATATCCCCATACAAAGAGGAGGTCGGACATTGGCCAGTACAGCACCCTTTATGAAGCTTACCTAGATGGAGAAAGTATGTCATTTGGCTGGTCGGACCTGGAAGTGTCCTCTTTCCTGGTTACCTGAGGTGGGAAGCTTCCCTTGCTCCATCCTCTACTATAGTGTTCTGCTCCACAAACCTGGAAATGACGGAGCCAAGTAAGTGACTGCAGATAGTCCCGGAGACTCTGAACCAAAAGCAGCACTTTCTCCTTCAAGTTGATTATTTTTCCTTTGGAATTCAGCAAACACTCTGATTAAAAGCTAAAAGCCCAGCCTCTCTTGGTAAATTAAATCCTTCCATCTACAAAAGGCCCGAAGTGGAAACTAAAAAGTAGGGTAAATACATTGAGGGATCCTCAAGTCCTAGTCCAAAGAGGCAGTAGACTAAAAAATGACACATCACCCAACTGACCCTTTTACGCATGGAAACTCTATACTCTTCATCTGCCATGGGACACCCAGGCCCACAGGCAGAGCCCTTCAGTGTGTGTTATGTTCCATAGAGATGCAGCCATGTGTTGACAAAACATATTAGGAAATCAATGCTCCACTTGTCTGTTGAAGAAGTAGCATCCAGTTATTGAGATACCTACTGTGTCTCTGCAGAACAGATCCACAGGCTGATATTGCTGCCCTCGGTGAGCAGAAGAAGCTAATGTTCTAAGCGGCTGCATCATTCTGGGTTAAACTGCCACTGGATGGTCGTGCTGGGTGTTGAGCTCGGCATTTCTGAAGGGCTCTTCTCTTTACATGCAGCTGATACCTAGAAAGGAATTGAGTTTTTTTAAATATTTTATTTTTATTGATATGTATATATGTGTGTGTGTGTGAATGTGTGTACCTGTGTGAGTGTGAGGGAGTGTGTGTGTGTGTGAGTGTGAGTGAGTGTGTGAGAGTGTGTGTGTGTGTGTGAGTGTGTGAGTGTGTGTGTGTGTGTGTGTGTGTGTGTGTGTGTGTGTGTGCAGTCTTCGAGCCTGAAGTTAGATCACAGGTGGCTGTGAGCTACCTAACCTGAATGCTGTGATCCACACTCTGGTCCCCTGTAAGAACAGCGAGCACTCCTGAAGGCCATCTCTCCTACTGCTCTTGTTAATTTTTGCTAAAAGGAAAAGGGAAGCTTGAATACAGGTGGGCTGCTGACGAACTTGGCCTGGGATCCTATAGAAGGAGCCATAAAGGGTTCTAGAACTAACATAAGACTCTGCCTCTATCTGTCAAGTGGGAAGGGTCTGGAAGGTTCTGGAATCCAGGAATTTCATTTATGAGGCAGACCAGATGAGAGGCATTAAGACCCCAGGAACACAGCTGAGTCTGGTTCTACTCTTGCTAGCACACTACTGCCTGTGCCTTTAATTCAAACCTTTTGCTAACAAAGGCAGAAATGTTCTCTCTGTGAGGACTCTGTTGGTGTTACAGATACTGTATCAACAAAGGCATGAAAGAATTATGCAAGGAAAACATTTTCCCCCAAGTTCCTTCTCAAAATCTTATGTGCGGGGGAGAAAAAAAGTGTAAGAAGAATAGAAAGAGAGATGTAAGTAAACAGCAAGCCAAGCCAGTAGGCGAGCTTGCACATCCAAAGATTGCAAGGGGACACTGGGTTATTTCAGTGTTCTGACTGTTGGTTTTTTTGGCCCTTAATGTTTTCAAACCAGAGGATCCAAAGCTGCCAGTTCCTCAGACACAGCTAGTGTTGAGATGCTCTCCTCTCCCTCCCCCGGCTTCAGTCCATCTTTTTCCTCCTGTTTAACTCTCCATGACCCAGGTGATTTTCATCTTTTGCGGACTGAACTTTTAATCACCAACTGGATGCATTCTTCTGTTTCTTGTGAACATGATCAGCTGTTCAATGTTTACCACTTGAGAAAATTGCATTCGCATTTTGAAGCGTAGACCTACTAACCCTGCTGCTGTTGGTAAAACCATTCATTGTTCCTGCCCTTATCTGCCAAAGGGCCAGGCCACCCCACAGCAGGAAGTGTGTTCTTTGTGGACTTGCTTCCACCCCTAGCCCCAGTGATGTAGCGCTCCAAAGTGGAGAAGGGAGATGACTGCTAAACATGCTTTACTGGAAGCAAAACACTGTTCTGATAAATGGTTCAAGTTAATATATCAGAATTTACAGACACAAATGCAACCAGGGCCAAGGCAGTAAAAGCAGTTCAGTAGCAAGCTTGGTAAGGGTCCCAGGAAGAGCATACAGACAGCCCTAGTCAGCTCTGATCATTTCCAGGAAGACACAACAGCCCAGCATGGCCTCCATTGCATTTCCCAACAGAAGTTCACAGTTTGACTTTTTACATATAACCTTTTTATTGTTAGTCAATGATTCTGAAAAAATTTAAAATACTCTCCTGGCACTCAGCTGCCAGTGTGCAACTTCTAGTAGTGAGGAATAAAGGGAAAACTCTACTAAGATAGCCCTATTCATTAGGAAATGGAAAGCTGTGTGTAGTTCAGGGCCTTACTACTTACAGTGTATTCCAGAGACGGCAGCACTGGTGTTGGCTCTGACTGTTAGAGTCCAGAACCTCAGGCCTCATCCTATATCTGTTGAATCATAGTCTGTGAACTATCAAGGTCCCTGAGTGATTGGTCTGTACATGGGGGTTATGGTGATAATGATGACCTGGATGAATGTAGTGTGGAGACATGCCTAACATCCTAGAGAGGCCTCCACCACGACACACCTACCCTGGGGGATACCCCAGAATCCTTAAGCTCTCAGAACAATTGACTGACCATCAAGCAGCACCCAATGTGGTCCTCTGGCTGTCCTCACTTTGCTGTGGGTCATCTCTCACCTCCCTCTTCTCCCCTCCTCCTGCTCTCAGGGAGCATGGAGCAGGCTTTACAGCAAACAGTGAAAGAGTCAGACAAGGGGCAGGGCTTTGGTAACTGCTTACCTCTTGCTCCAGACACCTCTGGTTTCCTTCGCCTGCAGTGCCTACCTCTTCCTTAGTCACTATCTTGTTGTCTTTGGTTGGTGGTGGTAATCTTCATTTGTTCTGTTGTTTTGTTTTGCCTCAGGCCTTAGCCCATCATTATTGGAATTAGAAGCCCCAATCTAGGATGATTCTCGAACTCAGATGGGGGATCTTTTGAGAAAGCTTCATCTTCTTAGCTCTCACAAACTCTTGTCTAGTCTAATAAATAGTTTTTATATTATTTAAGCAATAATGATAGGAAGATAGTATGTCCGTACTCACCACACATATATTTTTCCGATATTTTCTATCCATTATTAGTTGAATATATGATACATAGAAGCCAGAGATATGGAGAAGCAATTGTGTGTGTGTGTGTGTATGTGTGTGTGTGTTTCTTAAATGTACTGACACTTGAGTCCAAACGTAGAAACGTAATTTCTCTCTTGAAAGTAGCTAAAGGTAACACTTCTGTTAAATCCAGCCAAGTTGTTGTGAACTGTGATGACTCTGTATTTGGTAAGATAGAAAACAACCTATTCTTTTTGGTGTAAACCTCACATTTTGAAAATGTATTTAATTGAAAATAGCATCTTTGACAATAATATCTCTGAAAAATGTGTCATTAATTTTTGATGTCATTCCTCCCAGCTTTACTATGACATCGGGGGACTCTGATGCCCTTACTTGTTGGCTTAGCAATGTGAGATTTCCTATGTGTAAGTGACCCTGAGTTCTCCTCAAAACCAGAAAGAGCCCGGTTGTTCAATGTGACAGAAAGATCTCTAGACTTTGTGTTCAAGATCATTTGGAAAAGCAAAATTGCGTGGCTCCCACTCTTGGGGGAGATTCCTACTTTGCTTTCTGTTGCTTTGCTGTGATAGACACAATGACCAAAAGCAACTTGGGGAGGAGAAGCTGTGTTTCTTTTTTGCTGTTGTTCCTGTTTTCTCAAAACAAGGTTTCTCTGTGTAGCCTTGGCTGTCCTGGAACTCATTCTGTAGACCAGCCTGGCCTTGAATTCACAGAGATCCACCTGCCTCTGCCTCCCAAGGGCAGGGATTAAAGGTGTGTGCCACCACTACCTGGCCTCTTAAAACTTAGAGTCTGTCTCTGAAGGAAACCAAAGCAGGAACTCGAGGGAGGAACCTGGAGGTAGGAACTAAAACAGAGACCACAGAGGAACACTGATTTAATAGCTTGCTCTCGTGGCTTGTTCCGTTTGCTTTGTTGTAAACCCGGGATCACCCATGAAGGGTTGGCCTCACCCGCAATAGGCTGGGCCCTCTCACATCAATCATTAATCAAAATAATGCCCCACAGACTTGAGTACAGGTCACTCTGATGGAGGTATTTACTCAGTTATGGTTCCCCCTTTCCATATGAACCTAGCTTGTGTAATTGCCAATAAACAAACAAACAAAATCCTAACCATCGCAGGAGTTAAATATGTTGTGTGAATGCTACCTCCATCTCCTGGGGAGACAGGTATTCAGCACAGATGAAGACCATTTCTTCGTCTATTCTTATTCTAATTTCAGACTGAGTATTTGGGAAGGCTACTGTTAGGTTAGGAAAGAGAATGCTGGTTAGCAAAGTCAGAGACCTGTTCTTGGCTTTCAATCTGATGAAGGTCGTGTTTATTTTGCTTTAATAAATAACTAAATGCTAGAAAACATTATCAGTTACAGAACTGTCTATCTTGCTCTCTCTTTCCTTGCTTTTATTTTTCTTCAGACTTTTATAAAGATAGAAACTTTCCGAGTTTGAAGTCAATTTAAAAGTCGTTTATCCCATCTCCTCACTTTGCTCCCCAAATGTAGATGTATATTTTTGTAGAATAACCCAGTATCCAGCTTGCAGAATCATCAAGGGCTACTTCCATTCATCTATGGAAGGAAGCTACTACCTCTCACAGTACTCCAAACTAATCTGACTGTCTTGAATTTTTACTATGTGACAGACTAAACTTACTGGGCCATTTGTGACTCCCTGGCAAGGTTGCTTTTGTGGGGACCAGTGCTCATTTTGATTCATGTTGGCCACAAGACTCCTCCCCACTCTCAAGAGCCAATATGCAGTCCGTTGAGAGAATCATCTCTTCCCAGTTAGATCTTGGCAAAGTTCAAGAATGGGCAAAGACACAAACGTGTGCTTCCTTGTAGAAAACACCTACCTAATGATGTCTCTTGGCAGCTTCCAAAATAGAGCTTATTTCGACTGATAGTTTCCTGGAGAGAGAGAATGCTCAGTAGTCTTTTGTGCTTCCCAGAAAAAGTGTTAGCTGGGGAAAAAATGGAACTAAAGGCTTGGAACATTCAGCAGGAGTTCCTGGTCAAGCACACAGATTATTATAGTGTTTGTTAGATGACAAGGAAATCAGTGAGAGGTAGGTAGCTGCCTATGGTCAAAGACCAAGGTTTCCTAACTAACACTCTGTTATTCTCTGTTATCTCAGTAGACTGTCCTTTTTTTTTTTTTTTTTAAATTTTGTGTCATCAACATTTTCTTCAGTTGTACCTGTAAGGATCAAATCAGGTTTGCTAAATCACAGGCGTCTTTGTTCTAAACAAAGGAGTGGTTACATAATCAAATCAACTGTAGACCCTCTTTACGCCTAAATCCAAAGACTCAACTCAGACTAGATGAAGGCTCGTAGAACATTTCACTTCAGTGCCTAATAGAGTAAAGCCATTGTCAAGCTGGGGCATGGGGAGTGGTGGACAGGGAGTAAAGAGCTAGGAGTAAGTTATATCTATTGTCTGGTGGTGTATAGACCATAATACTGGGTGATAGTCCAAAAAGCCCTCACTGATCAGTTAGTATCATTGGTCTTATATAGGTCTAGCATTAGTCTGGTTACTTACTATTATGTCAGGAGCATTTGAGAACAACCTCCAGACAGACCTTCGTTAAGAGATACTTGGGTTGCTGGGCGTGGAGAGCAAGAGTGATGGTGGCAAAGCTCAGATACATCACGGAATCATTTCTAATACGAAAGTAGGCATTTTATACGCTGTTCTCCTTTAAAGTATTGGGGCAATTTCTTTTACATTTGATTAGTGGATAAATTTTGCTATGAAAGCAAAGCCTCCGAGAAATCTGTCCACTCTAAAGAGTGAATTGAATTATTACAAAAGAAGCTCACCTCATAACCTCAAAGGAATTTCAAGGAACAGGTTGTGTTTCATGCAGCACAAGCGAAGCGGGCCTCTTGAAGCTTTCTATTCTAGATTTAAA